AAAGAAGAAATTAAGCTCTCACTATTCGCAGATGACATGATACTATACTTAGAGAACCCTAAAACCTCTACCAAGAAACTCCTAGAAACAATAGGCTTGTATAGTAAAGTGGCAGGCTATAAAATCAATACCCAAAAATCCATGGCTTTCCTATATGCAAATAATGAAAGAGAAGAAAGTGACATGAAGAAAACAATTCCATTCACAATTGTGCCCCAGAAAATCAAGTACCTAGGAATCGCCTTAACTAAGGAAGTAAAGGATCTGTACAAAGAAAACTACAAAATGCTACTTCGGGAAATAAAAGAGGACACGAGGAAATGGAAAAATATCCCCTGTTCATGGATGGGGAGAATCAACATTGTCAAAATGGCAATACTTCCCAAGGCACTGTACAAATTCAATGCAATCCCTATAAGGATACCCACGACATTCTTCAAAGAAATGGAGCAAACACTCCTGAAATTTATATGGAACAATAAGCCCCCACGAATAGCTAAAGCAATTCTTGGGAAAAAGAAAATGGGAGGAATCAACCTACCTAACTTCAAGCTCTACTACAAAGCAGTAATAATCAAAACAGCATGGTACTGGAACAAAAGCAGAGCTGCAGACCAATGGAATAGAGTTGAATATACTGACATCTCCTCCCAAACATATAATCATCTAATCTTCGATAAGGGGGCAAGAAAAGTGAAATGGAGCAGGGAAAGCCTCTTTAATAAATTGTGCTGGCAAAACTGGACGGCTACATGCAAAAAAGTGGGCTCAGATCTCTGCCTAACGCCATGCACAAAAGTAAGATCGAAATGGATTTATGACCTCAACATCAGACCGGAATCCATAATGTTTATTGAAGACAAAGTTGGCAAAACTCTCCACGATATTGAAGTTAGTGGTGTCTTCAAAGACGCCACGCCACTGGCCGAGCAAGTGAAAACAGAGATAGACAAATGGGACTATCTTAAACTAAGAAGCTTCTGCACCTCAAAAGAAACAGTGACCAAAATACAAAGACAGCCTACAGAATGGGAAAGAATATTCACCAAATACACATCCGACAAGGGGTTGATTTCAAGGATATACAAGGTACTGGTTAAACTACACAAGAAGAAATCACCCAACCCCATCAAAAAATGGGGCGAGGAAATGAACAGAAACTTTCGCAAAGAAGAAATTCGAAAGGCAAAAAGGCACATGAGAAAATGCTCTACATCACTAATCATCAGAGAGATGCAGATCAAAACAACAATGAGATATCATTTCACACCACAGAGACTGGCCCACATCCACAAGAACAAAAGCAACAGGTGCTGGCGCGGATGTGGCGAGAAAGGGACCCTCCTTCACTGCTGGTGGGAATGCAGGCTGGTCCAACCCTTTTGGAAAACAGTATGGACGATTCTCTAAAAATTAGAATTCGATCTCCCATTTGACCCAGCTATCGCACTCCTGGGAATATATCCCAGAGAGGCAAAAATGTATAGTCGAAGTGACATCTGCAATTGTTTGTTCATTGCAGCACTCTTTACAATAGCCAAAATCTGGAAAAAACCTGAGTGCCCGAGAACAGATGACTGGTTAAAGAAGCTTTGGTACATTTACACAATGGAGTACTATGTAGCTGTTAGAAAAGATGAAGTTATGAAATTTACATACAAGTGGTACTACATGGAAAGTATCATGTTAAGCAAAATGAGTCAGAAAGAGCGGGATAGACACAGAAAGATTGCATTCATCTGGGGAACATAAAGCAACAAAACGGGAGACTAACACCCAGGAAGGGCTCAGATTAGTACCAGGAATTTAGCTCCATGACTTGAAGGCCAGCCACATGTGCTAGGTGAGAAGGAAGCTCAGATAGAGAAGAGAGCACCAAATAAAGGGTGTTGTGAAGACCCTCCCAGGGTGGGAGAGACATGCTAAAAGTGGTCTATAGACCAAACATGACTGCCACTCAATGCCTCTCTGGCAAAACACAGTACCCAAAAGAAGAGAGAGAGAACAGGGAGGAATGCCCTGCCACAGCGGCAGGGTGGGACGGGGGGGTGGGGGGGAGGATGGGGGGTGGGAGGGATGCTAGGACCCGTGGTGGGGGAGGATGGGCACTGGTGGAGGGATGGGTACTTGATCATTGTATAACTGAAACCCAAGCACAAAAATTTATTAGTCTATAAGTGTACTTCATGGTGTTTCACTAATAAAAAAAAATGATTAAAAAAAAAAAGAATGCTCTGCTTGGGGCGGGGGTAGGCACAGCAGGTAGGGCGTTTGCCTTACATGTGGCCAATCTGGGTTCGATTCCCAGCAGCCCATTTGCTAAAAGCACCACCGAGCACCACCAGGAGTAATACCTGAATGCATGAACCAGGAGTAACCCCTCTGCATCTCCAGGTGTGACCTAAAAAACAAAAAAAAAGCAAAAGAATTACTCCAGGAGCTGGAGCAATAGCACAGCGAGTAGGGCATTTGCCTTGCACACAGCTGACCTGGGTTCGATTCCCAGTATCCCATATGGTCCCCTGAGCACTGGCAGGAGTAATTCCTGAGTGCAGAGCCAGGAGTAACCCCTGTGCATCACTGGGTGTCACCCAAAAAAAAAAATAAAAAGAATGCTCTGCTTTGGGGAGTAAGGAAAGTCTGTAATTGTATTGGTATTGATAAGACTTTACGACTTTGAAACCTGCATGCATCTGTGTGTGTGTGTGTGTGTGTGTGTGTGTGTGTGTGTGTGTGTGTGTGTTACCAGAGAGGCACAGGTTCCACCACTGAGCCACATTCATGGCCCTATATAATCTGCTTTTACATTTTCATTTTTAAAAAATGCTAGAAGGGGCTGGAACTACACCCAGCAGTGCTCAGGGCTTGCTCCTGGCCCTGTGCTCAGGGATCATCCTGGCAGTACTCGGAGGACCGTATATGGTAACAGGGATTGAACCAGTGTCTGTCAGTCATATGCAAGGCAAGCCCCTTAACCCCTGTAGTATTTCTTGACCTGTATATTCTTTTTAAAAAGATATATTTTGGGGGGCTGGAGAGATAGCACAGCGGGTAGGGTGTTTGCCTTGCACGCGGCCGACCCGGGTTCGATTCCCAGCATCCCATGTGGTCCCCTGAGCACCGCCAGGAGTAACTCCTGAGTGCAGAGCCAGGAGTAACCCCTGTGCATCGCCGGGTGTGACCCAAAAAGCAAAAAAAAAAAGATATATTTTTTATCCCCACATAAAATCGGAATTTTTTTTTGATATTTGCACCCTTTTTCAGAGGTCAGAGAAAGGAGTTGCAGAGCTGTGGCAGATCTGGCTTGGAAATTGTGGCGGGGGTGGGGGCTGGGGGAGGGGGAGGGGAAAGGACACTGTCAAGGTCAGAGTGCCACAGGTGGGGGCAGAAGGGGGGAGTCGCTGTGCTCCCCAGCTTGTGTCCAGGACTGGGCTGCTGGGAATACCAGCACCCATAAGGCTCCAGAGTCAGCCACTGCCAGCCCCTCCGGGGTGAGGACTCATTTGCAGGTGCAAATCCTTCACCAGAGCCTTTGCCTGTCCCTCTCTTTTCTCTGGGGGGGTGGGGTTTCTGCACTCTCTTTCATCCTTGGCTCCTGGCTGGGCCATTTTTACTCCTTGTCACTCTAGCCCCTGCTGGCTGGTGACGCAGGACAGATGTCTCTTACTATTGCTTATTCAGCCCCTAGCGGCCACCTGTGCCCTGTTCTCCACTTGGAGTTGAATTCAACATATCTTGTCTACTCAGTGAGAGACCAAGGGGATAAAATGGGGGACCTGGGCTAGGGAGCAAATGATAAACCCTGGGAACCTGTTGCCAGCAATGAAATATGCCAAGAAAGGTCTTGGCAGAGCATCGCTGTCTACCCAGTGTCAGTTCCTCAGGCCTGGTGGGTGCAGTTTGTCTCTGAGTAAGGGCTGTATTTAAGGAATGTGTTTCTCTAAGAGGGCAGCAAGGAGTCAGTCTGCTCTGTCATCTTAAAACTGCACCACAGTGGGGAAAGACAGAACAAGTGGCCACAGCAAGCTCAGAGCACACGGGCTCAGCGACACACGCTTTTGTGTTTCCAGGAGAGGTCATGCTCACTCGGTGAAAGCTGCTCAGGCTGACTAGGTCTCTGGAATAGAGTCCAGAGTGTTCTAAATGCTGGCTCACAATTCCAAATTCCTCATGCCGATGTTTAAAACACTTGGACTACACAATCCCCATTAGGGGAGTGGAAAATCCCTGGAGAGGTCTGTTCTAACTCTTGAAGGCTATCACATGCCCTCTTCTGTCCCCTTGGATGACTAATGGTTTGTGTGTAGGGAGGATGGGAAGAACGCAGGTGGGAGCAATTCTAGCCTCCTGGCAGATCCTGTGCCAAGATTCTTTGAACACTTCCCTTGGAAGGATATTGTCTTGTAGAGACAGCAGAGTACCGTGCATGGGGGAATATGAACCCAATAATCTGTGGGGTCTATGACATCTGATGTGAATAATTTTATTAACTCTGGAGTAGTTCACCTGTTTCAAACAAATAAAAACCATTAAAAAGATGGTTGACGGGGCTGGAGCAATAGCACAGCGGGTAGGGCGTTTGCCTTGCACGCGGCCGACCTGAGTTCGATTCCCAGCATCCCATATGGTCCCCTGAGCGCCGCCAGGAGTAATTCCTGAGTGCAGAGCCAGGAATAACCCCTGTGCATTGCCGGGTGTGACCCAAAAAAGCAAAAAAAAAAAAAAAAGATGGTTGACTTGGACACGGTGTCGTGGATTAATTTTTCTAGTGTATGTTGTCATATACCACTAGCACTTAGCAGTTGCTTGATAATACCTGCTGACTGAATGACTGAAGTACAAGCTCTTCTCCACACTCACACCTCATCTAACCAGTGGCTCAGCTCCAAGAGTGGCTGCAGGGATACCAGCACCCACCTCTGTCAGCTGCAAGGACACCCACACATGCCTCTGTCAGCTGCAAGGATACCAGCGCATGCCTCTGTCAGCTGCAAGGATACCAGCGCATGCCTCTGTCAGCTGCAGGGTCACTGGAACACATCTCTGTCAGCTGCAGGGACACTGGCACATGTCTGTCACGGTGCTGGGATTGAGCCTTGGGCAAAGCCTCTGTGACAGCCCCTGGGGAGAAGGGGATATCAGACTGAAAGGCAAAGTGTGTTTGTCCTTGTCCAGTGGCCCCTAATGTGGTCATCCTGGATCTTCACAGCCAGCTATCAATGCAAGAGAAAGGTGCTCTTTCTGAGACAAAGAGTCGCGATCATGGGGCAAGTTTCAAACACTTCTGACTGTGAGTCATGGTAAGAATACACTTTATTGTCAAGTGGGAGGGACATCAACTGATCTATAATTGAAACAAAAAGTGCACAAGTGATGTGCCCATTATTCTCGCCAAGCTTGCTACTGCCCATAATGATCAGGGGACCTGGACAGTGATTTTGCAAGCCACGTGTGTGACAGAAGGACTTTCTGAAAGCAACTGCATGGCAATTTCTAATATTTTTTCATAGCATTGACTCCCTGTCCTCCCTCTCCATAAACCCTTATTAAATCTTATGAACTGAAGAACATTTTAGGGAACACTCACCAAAGTAATTTCATCATCCCTGTGTGTATATATCATTCTCTTAACATCCCAAACATGAAAGAAAAAAATATGAATATGCTCCCCATCTCAGAGGCAGCCATTTTATGGCAGCATATCTTTATTACTTTATTTGTCTAGGTTTTGGGGGCCACACCGGTAGTTTCTTGGGACTACTCCTGGTTCTGTGCTTAGAGGACCATGCCATGTGAGACTCGTTGCTTAACCCTGTGCTATCTCTCTGGTCCCTGTAAATGCTTTATCCAGTGTAAAAAAAGCAATCATATTTCCAGTGACTGGGAGGAGAATGAAGACTTCCCAACCTTCCAAGAACATCTCTGAGGAAAGAAAAAAAAAAACTAGAGAAATTGGTGTAGCCACTTTATCTAGCCAGGGATGTAAGCCAGCAGCAAAGCACTTTCTCTGCCGATGTCAGGTGCTGGGTTTGATCCCCAGCATCACCCCCCCCCGCCCCAAAAATCATACAGAGTTGCTGTTCGACTTGCAAAATGCCATCTTCCGATTGTTCTTCATAGCCTCACTCCCTCCCTTTCCATCTTTATTTCCCTACAGACCTGTTTTTTCTGAAGTCCCAGGACCGCGGGAGGAGGTGGCAGGCAGGGCTGTGCCAGTGGTAGATGTCTTCCTGTTAGAGCTGGTCTCTGTGTGGCTCGCAGTGTCTCTCCTGTCCCTGTCCCCCATGCTGGAGCCACCGCTGCAGAGACCTCTGTGCCGGCACCGCCCCACCCGCAGCAGTTTCCAGGCGGCGGTTCGGTACTTCTTAGAGAGGAGGCTATAGAGGATGGGGTTGATGGAGGCGCTCAGATAGAAAAGTTGCAAAGCGACAATATTGAAGTACTGTGAGAAGTACATCATCCGGGTGTCTGTCGAGTTTATGTAGATGATTCTGCCCACATGGAAAGGCAACCAGCAAACGACAAATGTCAGAACCACCACCACTGCAAAACAAGACACAGACACCAGAGTTAGCCGAAGCAGCCTCTTCCAGGAGAGCAGACTCCACAGAGCCAAACTGAGCATCAACAGCAAGACCAAACGGATGAAACCTTCACCTCACGAATGCCCCGCGCCAAAAAGAAAAAGAACAGGTGACAGAATGTTCACATTGGCTCTAAGTCTGCACACTTGCTTCCTCTATGTGCTCTCCAGCCCCAACAGAAACCAGAAGGTGCAGTTCCCACTAACAAACCGTTCTGGCTGCCGCCTGCTACTTCACAGGTAGATCCTACTTCAGAGCTACCAACCGACTTCAGAGCTAAATCCCTGGTTGCTGTTGCAACGGGTTGTGCATCAGATCTGCACGGTGCTATTGCACGGTGCACGGGCATTCTTTGAGATCGCTTCTTCGTGTGCACTGGAAAACTGGAGTTGAACGTGATCTACCCCCTTTCAAGACCACTCTGGGCGCCTTGGGCGTGGGCACCTAAGGGAAGGCGTTTGGCTTAAGAGCCTCAGTGACCCAGGTCGGCTCGGCCCCGGGCCACGGATCACAGCGGCTTTGGGAAACCCTCCCAGGCTGGACGTTGCACACTTGGGAAACCGCGGGGTCCCCCAGAGCTGGAGGTCGCAGATGAGCAGCTGGAGCGCAAGCCCGAGAAGGAAAGCAGGTAGAAAGGAGGTGCGGGGGTGTGGGGGTGGCGCTCGGCACAGGCGAGGGGAGGCGGGGTGGTGGTGCGGGGCGGGCCGCGGTGGGCACTTACGGAGGACGCGGATGGTGCGCCGGTGGCCTCTCTGCCGCCCCGAGGCCGCGGGGCCTCCCGGCGGGCCCCGGCTCCGCCAGAGCTCGCGCGCGATGAGCCCGTAGAGGACGCTGAGGCCCAGGAAGGGCAGCACGAAGTAGGCGGTGGTGACCCAGAGCACGACGCGCAGGGCGCCCTCCCGCGCGGGGCTCGGCCGGCACTCGCGGCTGAACAGCGCCGCCGCTTCCTCCGGGCCCGACGACGTGGCGTTCGGGACGGCGCGGGGGTCCCGCTGCACGCCCACCAGGAAGAAGAAGGGCGCGGCCGAGAGCAGCGCCACGGCCCAGAGCGCGGCCAGCAGCGCGCGGACGCGCCGGCGGGTGACCAGCACGCGGGCCCGCAGCGGGCGGCACACGGCCAGGTAGCGCTCGGCGCCCAGCGCCGTCACGTGCAGCAGCGACGCGTAGGTGCAGCCCTCGCCCAGCGACAGCGACAGGCGGCACAGCAGCGAGCCGAACACCCAGGGCCGCGAGCGCCACAGGCGGTACAGGTCGAGGGGCAGCCCGAGCAGGACCAGCAGGTCGGCCACGGCCAGGCTGCCCAGGTACAGGTCGGTGGTGCTCCGCGCGCCCCGCGTGCGCCAGGCCAGCAGCACCGTCAGCGCGTTGCCGCCCACCCCGACGGCGAACAGGCCCAGGCACACGGCGGTGACCGGCACGAGCGCCCGCAGCGGGAAGGCCGAGCAGCGGCGCTCGTCGCACGGCAGCGCGGCCGCGTCCTCGACGCCGGCGCTGCGGTTCCAGGGGCTGCCCATGGGCGCCCGGGAAGCGCTTCCCTGGGCGGCGGCGGCGGCGGGATGCGCCGTCCTCGCGGGCGCCGTGCTAGGACCGTGCAGGGTCGCTCCCCGGGCGCTCCGGGCAAGCAGAGCGCGGTGCCCGGCCCCCGCCCGCCCGACCCGCTCCGCCTCCCCTCTCCGCGTCCCCGCCCCGGCTCCCTCCCAGACCCGGGGTTTCCAAGGTGTTTCCATCTGCTTCTGGAACACGGAGGCGCTAGCCGGAGCGCAGGAACGCTGTCAGTCTGGAGATTAATTTCTGTCCCCTGGACGTTTGTTCCAGCAGCCAGTGGGCCGCGCTACTGGAGTCGGGGACAAACGGGGTGGATTCCTTCCTTCCTTCCTTCCTTCCTTCCTTCCTTCCTTCCTTCCTTCCTTCCTTCCTTCCTTCCTTCCTTCCTTCCTTCCTTCCTTCCTTCCTTCCTTCCTTCCTTCCTGATCATACTTGAGCTTCACAGATCATACTTGAGCTATTCTGCTGAGTTCTTTGCCTCTTTGCATGGGTGAACTTGCGTGTCTAAGAGTTTTCCACCCATCCCACACTGGTTAAAGAGTTGCAGTGCTCAGTAGGATAGCCAGGAAGTGGGAACAACCCACCTGCCTCTAATTCTCACTTCTCTTCTTTCCTGAGGCCAAGGCAAGGCCCTGACACCACCATATGGGTGTCAGGGCGTGGCCTGCCTTCCTTCCTTCCTTCCTTCCTTCCTTCCTTCCTTCCTTCCTTCCTTCCTTCCTTCCTTCCTTCCTTTTCTCGTTACACCTGGAGATGCTCAGGGGCTACTACCCGCTTTGCACTCAGGAATCACTCCTGGCAGTGCTCAGGGGACCAAATGGGATGCTGGGAATCGAACCCGGGTTGGCCGCGTGCAAGGCAAACTCCCTACCCGCTGTCCTATCACTCCAGCCCCACGGGGTAGATTTCTGCGGGAACCCACTAACAACTGCGTCCCGCTAGGATTCTTGCCTTCTTGAGCCAGCCCGGCTTGGCCAAGTCAGACCACTTCTGTAGACTCAGGAGTGTCGCTGTGGAGGGAGTTGGCCACGTAATTGTCCCCAAGCTTACAGCCCTGAAATCTGTGGACACCACCGGAATATAAAACAAGGCTTTCATTTTTATGCAGACTTATGAGTTTTTGAGCACAGTGCTATGTCGTTCCTGTGTACAAAATATTTTATGAATTTCAAAAGCAAGCTAGGTGTCAACACCAAAAAGAATGGAAACTTTGGGGAATTGAATTATGGGTCAGTTCACTGGTCCAGGTAATGGTTGATTGTTCCTGAGCGCAGTTGGCATATTTGGACTTGTGCTCTCTATTGCCACTGCTGCTAATGCCATAGCTGTGGGTCACCCTCACTCTTGCTTGTGGTGCTGGGCACGGTCACCTGCTCTTTTCAGTTATGGTTGACACCCCACTGTCTGTGGTGCAGGGGTGTGTGTATGTATGTGGGGGGAGGAATACCCTCTTATAGCGCCAGGGCTGAGCCTCCAGAACTCACAAGGGATCCAATTCTCAACCTGATGTTTGCAAGGCAGTGTTTTTTATTTGTTTTGGTTGTATCTTATTTTTTGTATTTATTTTATTTTATTTTATTTTTTTGTATTTATTTTTGCCTTTCATCATTGACCCACCCCCAGCCTCTTGTGCTTTCCATCTCACGCTCGTGTCCTCAGGGGCTCGTTTTGTCTCCACAAGCCAAGCGGTGAGGCTCCCTAGAGATCATGCAGGCAGTGCTGGGAGTTGACTCCAGCTGCCAGATCAGAGGAATGCATGCCACCGCTGCCCCCTTTGTCCTCATCCAAGGCATCACAGATCATACTTGAGCTATTCTGCTGAGTTCTTTGCCTCTTTGCATGGGTGAACTTGCGTGTCTAAGAGTTTTCCACCCATCCCACACTGGTTAAAGAGTTGCAGTGCTCAGTAGGATAGCCAGGAAGTGGGAACAACCCACCTGCCTCTAATTCGCACTTCTCTTCTTTCCTGAGGCCAAGGCAAGGCCCTGACACCACCATATGGGTGTCAGGGCGTGGCCTCTGGCAAGGCAAACACCTACGTGCTGTACTCTGGCTCAGGCCTCAAGGAGTGCGTTAATTCCTTCACATTCCCCCCACTCCCCGCACTCACAGCAGTGTAGAGGGTCCGTGGAACGCTGGAGCGGAGGAGGCACAACAGGCTCTGCCTCCATCGCCCTTACCTGCGGGGGCAGGAGCTTGGCTCCTGGAGGCAGGGCTCCAGTGTCTGCCTCTGCAGGCTGGGATGTCCTGGATTAAATACGTTGCTCATGTGATATCCTTTATCTCTTTTCAGCACTCAGCTCTTGTCCAGGATCACCATTTCCAGAACCACTATTACAGTGGCCCATTCTTTGATCTAACTGCACTTTCCCACAACTTGTGGCCAACTTCCTACTATAAACAAATCTTCCCAGTAGTCTTTTCTATGTCTTTTACAATTTTTTTAAATTAGTGAAACACCATCAGGTACAATTGTGGACTTACAAGATTTTATGCTTGGGTTTCAGTTATACAATGACAGAGTACCCATCCCTCCAGCAGTGCCCATTCTCCACCACCAAGGATCCCAGTATCCCTCTCACCCCCCATCCCCACATCCCACCGTTCCTCTGTGGCAGGGCATTCCCTTTTGTTCTCTCTCTCCTTTTGGGTGCTGATGTTTGCAAAAGAGACATTGAGTGGCAATCATGTTAGGTTTATAGTCTACTTTCAGCATGCATCTTCCATCCTGGGAGGATCCTCCCAACACCCTTTACTTGGTGTTCCCTTCGCTATCTGAGCTACCTTTTCCCCTAACATGTGAGGCTGGCCTTCAAGGCATGGAGTGAACCTCCTGGTACTTATCTCTACTATTTTTGGATGTTAGTATCCCATTTTGTTACTTTATATTTCCCAGATGAATGCAATATTTCTATGTCTGTCCCTCTCTTTCTGACTCATTTCACTTAGCATCATACTTTCCATGTAGTACCACTTGTATGTAAATTTCATGACTTCATCTTTTCTAACAGCTGCATAGTACATTGTGTAGATGTTCCAAAGTTTCTTTAACCAGTCATCTATTCTCAGCCACTTGGGTTTTGTTCCAGATTTTGGCTATTGTGAACTGTGCAACAATGAACATAGAAATGCAGATGTCATTTAGACTATACTTTTTTGCCTCTCTGGGATATATTCCCAGGAGTGGTATTGCTGGGTCAAATGAGAGCTCAATTTCTAATTTTTTGAGAAGCGTCCATACTGTTTTTCAAAAGGGCTGAACCAGTCAGCATTCTTGCCGACAGTGAAGGAGAGTTCCTTTCTCCCCACATCCGCGCCAGCATCGGTTGCTTTTGTTCTTTTGGATGTGGGCCAGTCTCTGTGGTGTGAGATGATATCTCATTGTTGTTTTGATCTGCATCTCCCTGATGATTAGTGATGAGCATTTTATCATGTGCCTTTTTGCCATTCAGATTTTTTTTTGAGAAAGTTTCTGTTCATTTCTTTGCCCCATTTTTTGATGGGGTTGGATGTTTTCTTCTTTGAGACATAAATGTGTAAAGTATTTGTAGTAGGTGGCACTATCACTTGTGCTTCTATTTTTGTTGATTTCCCTGTCATCTAACTCCATGCTTCTACAACTAGGTCTGAATCACACGCACATAAGAACCAAATATGCCTATTGTGCTGTCCCAATATCCCACATTTTTCCTATTTTTCCAATTTATTATTATTAAGTTAAAAATAAATGTGTTATTGTTTCTAAGAGTAGATAACACTCACTCATCGGCTCTAATTTTTTAGTCACTCACACTGTTATGCTATTTCTCAGTCTATACTCTCCAGTCCAACTCAGTAATTTGGTTTCTACCGTCACACTGAGGGTCTGGTTCTGAGGAAGATGCCTCTGCAGCTCCATGAAAGTTTGGGGATGGGGAGTGTCAATGGGCTTCTCCCCCTGAAGATAAACTAGATACCCTTCTTAAAGTAAGCAAGTGCAAGTTTTTCTATGATTTCCCTAAAATCTTCACTCTCCCTTTGTATCTTCATTGATCCATCATTTACTTTAGTCCATGCCCAGGAATACTTTGACCTTCCCATGGTCCATTTCTTTGACTCTAAAGTCTTTTGCCTTCTCCCTTTGAGATATTACTGCCAATTTCTAGTTTGCTGGTAGTACTCTCCTATTCACTCTCTTTCACTTAGAGTGTCAATGGTTTCAAGGAATTTGAGATGGGATAGTAAGTGTCAAAGTGGTTGAAGTGTATCTTAATAAAATAGACCCTGTCTTCAGATGTCTAAATGCTATCTTAAGTAGTAAACCATTTAAATCTATTTTACTTGCTATCTTAGATGTTGGTTGGGTTCCATTTCTTGTGTATTTGAAAACAGTTTCTGTGTCTTAGAATTTCGATGGTTATGGACATGGATAATAAAATGGAAATAGCAGACAAAGAAAAAAAACAAAAAAACTCTGCTCTAAGAAAAGAAAAAAATTGCTGCCACACAATACATCTGGATAGGATCATGCTGAGTGAAGTCAGCAGAGGTACAGATGCAGAATGATCTCTCAATCTGTGGGATATAGAGAGACAGAGTAAGGGAATAACAAATGCCCAAAGACAAGGCACCTGAGAATGGGTCTCCGAACTGAGCTGAATGAGTGGTATAGGGTTTGGGGAGTCTGTAATCAAAAGTCTTCCCCAAAACAAAAGTCCAGATGGATTCACTAGCGAATTCTTCCAAACATTTAAAGAGGACCTATTGCCAGTTCTCTTCAAGCTTTTCCAGGAAATTAAGGAAACTGAAACACTCCCAAAGAGTTTCTATGAGGCACATATCACCCTAATACCAAAAGCAAACAAACACCACAAAAAGAAAATTACAGGCTACTATCTCTGATGAGCACGGATGCGAAGATCCTCGACAAAATATTAGCAAATAGAATTCAACAACTAATCAAAAAGATCATATGCCACGACCAAGTGGG